GGACAAGCCATGGTAGCTACATCCAGTCATGTCACAAAATTCCCATCTGAATTAATTGTTGCTTTTAAGACAAAGCTCAACTGAGTTTATAGAGATAACCCTCAACAAAGGTTTAGCTGAACTGCAATATTTCAAAAAGTCTGTTACACACAGAATTTCCCATGGCTGCTGCTCTCTTCTGGAAAGAAAGAAGTGAAAAAAGTGCTTTTGATATACATGCAATAGCCACACTGGCCTGTACACTCCTGGATGAAGGGTAGGCACATGGTTCTCACCAATCCTGTTTTCACCCTCCTCCCAGGAAGTGTGTCCTAGAGGTGTTCAAGGCCAGGTTGGATGGAGCCCTGGGCAGCCTGGTCTAGCGTTAAATGGGGAGGTTGGTGGCCCTGCACGTGGCAGGGGGTTGGAGATTCATGATCCTTGAGGTCCCTTCCAGCCCTGGCCGTTCTGGGATTCTGTGATTCTGTGAAGCAGCCCCAGTATTTACACCAGCTGCTTCCTCCACTGTGCTCAAAGCTGAGCACGGATGACTTCAGAAGCACACAGGGAGCAACAGACAGCTTTATTCTAGCACTTCACACCCTGATTTCCTTCAGCGTTTGCAAATGTCATCTGGCAAAATCAATTCAATTCCTCACGTGCAGGATGAGCAAAGCCCTGCAACATTTCTTGTCTTTATGACAGAACATCTGTCTTTTATCTCTATTCATTTGCTAAGTTTACACACGTTACCTCAACATACATCCAAGAATTTATTTTCATAGAATCCTTTCCCCAAGAAAGTCTCATCATTAGATTACTAATGGAATCTTAAAATAACAGAACATCTAGGTTATTTGTTTTTCAGTAGCTAGCTATTCCTCCATGCTCCTTTTACTGTCCTTTTCATTTCTGCTGTATTCTGTTCCAATTCACGCACTTTTGCTGCCACAAGATGCAGAAGATTGACTAATAAGACAGTTCACATTTGGAAGAAAAGGCCACAGATGAGTGAAAGCTGCAAATTACATCCTACAGTAATCAGTAAGAGCCGATTCAAATGTAATACAGCAAAGGCAACCTTCTATCAGGAAGTGATGGCTCATGCCAAAGCAGCCTGCCAAACCAGGCAAATTTCTTTTCGTCCTATTTCCTCCTCCAAAAACACAGAGCTACTACTGTGTAAAGGGATCAGAATTACCAGAAGAGAGCTGACTGACACACAACATGGTGATATGAGTCTTATTTCCTTAGGCAAAATTCAGGATATGGGTCAGAAAGCTTGAATTGTCTCAGCAGTTTGACATTAAACTTGTCTGGCAACGTTACAATTAACGTAAAATAAGCCAAACATTTGTCAGGCCAACTGGTTTTGTTTCTCATGAATGCAAACCAACTTTGTGTCATGATTATATTTTTAAGTAAAATTCAACTTGCATAAGCCCTCTTTCTTATTTTTCTTTTTCTCTCTTCTCCTCAAGACCATAATTTATTTCTGGCTTTATGGATTTATGACTCAGAACCAAAGTTCTGAGTATTTAATGCAACATACACAGGCCATCAACTTTGGAAAAAATCAAACCAACCCATTCTCACCTCCACCCCTCCCCCCTCAAAAAAACCCACACTTTTTTTCTTTTGGGCGTTTGCAACACTCACAGGAAGCAGATTACCTTGCATGCTTCTTCAGTAACAATTTTATCTTTCTGAAGAGATGGATTACAATGAGGAATGAGTGTTCGCAGAACTATCTGCCTAAAAGCAGCTGACAGTCAAGCTGACAAATCTGCATGTGAGAGAGAGGGGAACAAGGCAGAACACCAGTATGAAGACTTTTCTCTGAAACTGAAGAAAGTCAAGACTGAACCCAGTACTTGGCTTCCCTTATTTAGTAATCTTAGCAAACTGGGAGAAAGTCAAGAGAGTTCAAGTTATCTCTTGAGCACAGCTGTAACTTGCCAGCTTTTAACTGAATGCCAAATGTAATTCAGTTACGGAGATGAATATTACATGCTTACGTCACAGTTAAATCATTGCTGTTTACAGGTAAGGAAGGTACTCAGTACCTTCCAAAATAGTAACTGTGGATTCACCAAGTAGGATGTTGCTACTTCATTAGCCTATTTTTGGGTATTGCCGTGAAAGTAATTTTCTTCCCATACAAAGTCTGATCAGGCTGATTGAAAATGTTTTTGGAGGATCTCCTGAGTAGGATTTGTAGCGCACTCTGCTCTGCTGGAAAAGCAATGCTGCTGGTGCTAGATGGACAATTAATTCAGTGCTGGTTCAGGGGTGTGCATGTACTCCGAGATTCTGCCTTCTGGAGACAGTGAAGCACTGGCACAGGTTGCCCAGGAAGTGGTGGATGCCCTGGCCCTGAAGACACCCAAGGTCAGGCTGGCTGGGGCTCTGAGCACCTGATGGAGACATGGGTGTCCCTGTTCATTGCAGGGGAGAGGAGCTAGATGGCCTGTAAGGTCCCTTCCAACCCAAATGATTCTATCATTCTGTGATGCTCAAGACTCCAGTGACACCATTACAAGATGAGACACAAGACATGAGGTTCCAGAGAAGAAAATTACAATTTCCTCCAAAGAAACAAGCATGAAAACCACAGGCATTACAGTTACTGAAGTGATGCATGTATAACAAGGAGATTTGAGTCTAAAGGGCACTCTGCCAAGTCACTGCGAGGAGACACAACTGGAATACAATATTGATCCATCTGTGTAAGTGCAATGACTTCGTTTAGGGTACTGAATTAGCTGCCAGACTAAGCCAATGATTTGACTCTAGCAAACTACAACAATTTGCTCTGTTTTCACCAGTCATATCCACCACCACTCTGCTGGAAAATTCTGCCTTACAGAGCTCAGAGCTACAAACTGAAGGCAATGAATGCTGTCAGATTATCTACTTACTGAATGGACACAAAGTCAGTAAATGTCATTGAAAAAATGACACAGTGCCATACAGGACGGTACTTGGTATTGCATTTCCAATGCAAACACAGTTTCTTCGCAACATTTATAAAGATAAATTATGTTTCTGCCTTCAAATATGCTGCATGATTCTTGAAATTAAATTTAAATTGTGTTTTTAAAGCACCTCTGACAACAGTGGAGGAAGCAAAACAAATGGAGCTATTCACCATGTGAAAATATTGAAGAAATCTTCAGTGGTCATTTTCCTTTCCTGTAAAGCTGCTCATCAAAATGTCTTATTTTTGGATTAATTTTCTACTCCCCCTTGTTTGTGTCTGGCAAGAAATGAGAAAGCCTGTTTCACCACTACCAGTTCTTCCTGAGGCTATTTGTTGTGCATATCTTCAAGACATCAAGTCACAACCCCACTCCTAGTAAGGAAGGATTACTCCTTTACAGCATTCAAGAACCTTGCCTTCCTACTGAAAGGATACTTCCTAAAACAGAACAAGTTTTCAGGCGTCCCAACCCACCAATGCTATTTAGACCCCATCACCTGGTGACCTTTCGTGGTCTTTGACATCAGGCTGAACAGTTCAGAGCAACAGAGGCTCAGAGCACTACTACAAACTTACACACAAAATTCAATCCCTGCTTATCACTGACATTTCCATACGTTTTGAACTATTCACCTAGCACCAGTGTTTCCCCACTAAACCGTGTCCCTTAGTACAAAGATACTACAGCTTTCTGCAAGGACACAGTTACAACTTATGATCTGTTTTCAAGGCTGAGAAATTACTACATTTAACTGCAATCAGATGGACAGAACAGTAAATCTTAAAAGCAGTCACAAAAGCGACAAGAAAACCCAAACGTTTCGAAGTTGTAAATAACTGTAAAGCAGTGGGGCTTGTGGAGTCACTTGTAAGAAGGAAGAGTTACCGGGGATAAAAACGAGGTAAGTGGCACTGCTCTCAGCTATCATAGCATTTTCTTGTGAGAGGGGTGGATAGGACAACGATAGGGCCAATGTGTTAAGCAAGAGAAAAACATTAAACATAGCATGAGGATCTACAGAATCCAACAGAAAGCCTGTGCACACTGTTTGGAACAATTTTACAATCTAAATTTCTATGAACTGTCAAATCTAATGTTGCCAAAGAACAAAGCCACTGTTATTTACTTATCACAGTAAATAAAACCAATCAATTGCTTTTTTCTACATCACAGAGGAGGAGAACTAAATTTGAATGGCAATACAAAGAATGTCCAGGCAAATATTCTTGTTATTGGACTTCAGGAGTAGTGAATTTCATAAACTAGAGACGTGGCAAAGGAATCTCTCTGTATGACAAGTTACCCAGAAAAACACAATGGATGCTGAAAGCTTAAAAGTGATCTGATTGTCTGTACTGGAGTCAACAATTTTTCTTAAATCTCATTTCTGTTCTTGAAATACTGTCAGTGCTCTGTTCCTTATTATAGTTCCAAAGAGGCTGATCAAGAATATATGAAGTTACTAAAATGATTTCCACTGACTTGAATTAGATTGAGATTGAAATCCAAGCAAGATTTTCACCAGGTAGTAACAGAAGCCAGCTCTAATGCGGGGAATGAGTTCCCCTTTCAAAGCATGCTTTAACTAAGTATATTCTGGGGAGAAGTCAAACCTGCACACTAAGATTTCATGGCTGCTAGTATTTTACCTGTTTTTACCCAACTTTTAAGCATTCTTATTACAGATAAGTGTGTATATGAGAAATGATCAGAAATGATCATAACACAACTGGCACGTATGTTTTTATGGACCGCCTACCATGAGTATGATATCCTGCACCCAGTGCAATCACAATAAAAATTTACTAGCCTCAACCACACAGAAACTAAAAACTGACTTGGCGAATGAATCATTCAATTTGAAAGTGGGTGAGAAAAGTAAACACCAAGGGAAAGCACTGCAAGGAGCTGTGTTTGCAAAGAACCACTCAACGCTGCGAGATAATCTCACATCTCGAGTTTCATAGAGAATCCAACTTCCCCTGCATAAAACCACCATTCAGAAAAACTAAGCATGCAAAAATTACAAGCACTTACCTTTTTCATTGCAACTTGTGGATGCTGGAAGAAGAACTCCAGGCTTGGACTTGTCATAATTGTTAAAGCTCTGGCTGCGGCGATTGTTGGTACTGACAGCACCACGAGTTTTTGTCTCACTGCCTGCAGTGGACACCCTTGTGGTCGGGCCTGGGAGCCTGACAAAAGAATTACAGTAAGATCAGATATGTGAAAAAGCACTATGAGAGAGAAACTATGGAATACCATGCGTAAGATGAAAAGGATCAATATCACAAACATACACTTTTAAGGTCTTGGTCCTTACCAGAGAACTAATGGAAAAATCATCTGAGATGAAAAATGAATCACAAACAAGCTACAATCTGAATTGCTTTATATGAAAAGAAAAAAAAAAAGGAAAAAAAAAGAAAGAAACAAGATTGTTAATCAGATACTTTAACAGCTTTCCTTTCAGCTCAAAAAAACTTCAGGATGCAGTTTGAAATCCCTGTCTAAGCTGACTAATACCAGATTTAGCAAAAGGAAGAGTTGTTTCTAATGGACTCAACAGAGAATACACTAAGCTGTCTCCTCTCAGTAAGGTGATACAATCAGACCCTCGCTACACATCTTTTGCTTGTTCCATTAATGGTCACTTGCCATAAATCTTGTGAATCAAAAAAATGCAGTGCAGTAATAATACCAGCGTAAAGTTAACACTAAATGAGACATTACTGCTCTTAAACCAGACTGTTGAACAGAGATACACTTATTTTGGATGTAACATGGGGAAGTACATTACATCAGTGCTCAGTGGCCAGCCCAGCAAAACATTAACTGGCTTTAATTTGCGCCCATTAAATCACACAAAATGTAAGTCCATGCTCTTAGGGCAACCACATCAGTGAGCAGGTATAAGTTTCTGCTTTAAATGGATAGAGGATGGCAGCAAGCTGTTTCAGGGATGGATTTTCCAGCATTTCCTTAGCCCATATCGAAAAGATTTAAATATTTACCTAGAAAAAAAGGTAGGTAGGATTCTGGAACTAGCAGACAGGAAAGGATACTCGTTTCACATTTTTCAGGCAAAAAGGGAAGGGGTAGAATTTTCTGAAAGTCTGACAATTGGGAAAGCCACAGGCACTGCATCTCAAAACAACCTGTGTGCCTGAGTTTTTCAAAGTGAACATTAATATACACAGCTTGTGGGTCTGAATGTACACAGCTTGTGGGTCTGCGCTGTGTTTTGCGTGCTCACAAGAACATGCTTCTATGGTCCAAGTAGATGCAACATTGAAAATTGAAAGGCTTGCTGGTTTCTCAATATCCATTCTTAAGAGAATTAAGAAAACAACTCATTTTAAAAAGCAACACCATCACATTATAGACTAAAAGATAGGACCAGTTCATGGCATATAAAGAAGCAGTGAAAGGGTCTTCTTTGTGCTCTCTTTGTATTTTCTGTAAGGTGGAATCTCCCTAAAACTGACTCTGCATGGAATACAAAAGCCAATTTAACTTAACATGCGCTGATAGTAGGCTGCAATGAAGAAGTCCCAGTTGTCAGAGTGAGAAGATACAGCAGACCAAATCCCTGCTGTGCCTATGGGGGTGTGGGGGTTTGGGGGGGAAGAAGCCAGGAAGGAGGCTGGCAGAGCTTTCAAAATTAACTGGCTTCTCAGAGTCCAGTGAAGAAATAGGAAATAGAAAAAGAAACATGAAGGAAAAGTACAGAAATGTCAGCAGCTGCATGCACATGCTTTCAAAGCTCGAAATGGGATAAAACATAAGGGCATCATTCAAATACAAAGCAAAAAAATCTTTTACAAACTCAAAGCACCACGGACCTGGCACAGCGTATCATGGTTCTGAGGTTTATTTGGCCGAAGACTTTAGGACAAACCCTCCATTTAGCCAGGAAGAGCAGCCTTTTCCAGCACTGGGGGGTGCTAGGAAGTTGTCCTCGGCTGTACAAGTTGCAGCACGGTGCCACGGAGAACAACCCAGGGATGCTCCATTCTGCACACAGACCACATGGAAGGAGCAGCAGTGGGGAAGGGAAGGAGCAACCTGAACATGGCTGCCAGGCTCTTCCTGAACACTTGGAAAGCAATTCATTAAGAGTTTGTTTTACTGAGTAGGAACTGAGCTACAAACACACAAGATATCTCAGCTCTGGCTTTTCAGAAGGACAAAATGCTACAGACAGGGCCAAGTGGGGCAGCAAGGCCCGCAGCCTGGCAGGGCCTGTGAAAGGCAGCCACACAGGTTTTGCGAATCTGTCATATTTTAAAGGAATTAAAGCTGCCTGAACTGTGTGAGCACTCAACAGGTGGCAAGTTGGTGAGACAATGGTGTCATTGCCATTAAAAAACACATGGAGAATGAAAAACGTGAGAGTCAACAACAACTCTTGAGTAAGATATCACTTCTCTCACATTTTTCTCTGTAGAAACTGAGTGCTTTTAGCACTTATTTTTGGTGTTTGGCCAAGACATTTCACAGCAACATCTGTGAAATCTAAAGCAAAATCTAGGTGCAGGGTGATGTTTCCAGCTTCTTGCTACTAGAGAAAGGTACTGAGCCCAGGCCATAACTGTGACCCAGAAAGAAGCACAGAATGATAGAATGGTTTGGGTGGGGAAGGACCTTAGAGACCACCTGGTTATAACCCCACTACTACAGGCAGGAATACTGTACTGATGTGTCAGGGCAGCAGTAGCCTGGCTCTAGCTATTTCAGTAATGCAGAGCTACATGCAGCTCACACAGATGGGTGCAGCAGGGAGAGAACTCCCAGAACCATGTTTTGTTCTCAGAAACAAAAGCTTATAAGGGTAAGAAAACACAATCATTCTCTTGCAGGCCTAAATGCATTCCACACTTTGAAAAACAGAAAGAAGTTAAAATTCGCCCAACACTTCCATGTTTCAGCTGCTGGTAAAATGCCTAGTTACAAACGAGGAGGCAAACATTTTCAGCATGAATCCTAAGCATGCAATAATACTGCAAAAGGATTATTCATGCTTCGAGGAAGATGAAGAAACGCTAACCTAGAAGACTTTTTCTGACCAAGAGTGAATCGGATGATTTTGCTTTGAGATGAGTCCCTGGGAGATGCACTGTACGACAGGAAAGAAAAAGTGGAAGATATCATTGAGTAACAACTTTCTTTTTAAAGCCACTGCACTTAGTTACCAGTTGCAGGGAAGAGGGAGTTTATGCTCTTCGCCTAAGCGTAATTTCAGGCCAAAACTGTTTAAAATCAATTATTTTTTATACAGTATGATAGAAGATGTATATAGATGCAGTTTTGTGTGCGAATTCACATTTTTTTTTACTCTTCTCAGTTTTTTATTATATATGATTTCTTCAGAATCTGTGCATTTTCAGCTTATAATATACCGTATGTTATATTTCACATTCTCATGTTAAATAATTTTAAATTTCTTGAAACCCAGCACAAACCACACAATGGACAGAAAATACCAAAGCCATACTGAAATGATCCTATGATTCTGGTCATGTTTTTTTGTCACAAAAGTAACAAAAATACATTCAGATGTTTCCTCATTTGATGATGGTTACTTCCTGTACAAGCTTATACACGCTGTAACAACATCGTGCTTTCCAATTACACAAATAATTGTTTCCACTTAAAATGAGCATGGTTCATTATGACTCAAGGAAAGCCCGAACAAGATCTGAGTAGCATCTCTCTTGGAAGGCTTCACTTGATCTGTCTGTATCCCTCACAAAGCAGCACATAAGATAGTGTTCATCTTAGTGAGTTATTTTAACACAAATCAGCCTTAACTTAATTTGTGATGGTTTGAAACAAATAAGCCTTCACCAGTAACTGTGCAAACATGACTTCAGCTTTTCATCCTGCCCACTAAAATGCTCACTCTGTTAACAGGGGTCAGATAAGCAGGCTGCAATTGTAATCACAGTGCTACTGACTGTGGCTTTTATTTTAACCTGCAAAGAGCTCCATTAGGACTGAAAACATTTAAGGCACAAACACTCCCTCTATTCTGATCTAGGAGAGCCAGAGAACACCAACAGTGCCTTTTTTTTAATGTAAGCCAGCAACTTATTTTTGATCATTAGGCCTAGATTTGATTTCGAGTGTCACCAGCTGTGATGAGTTCTATTTCTTTTACCACGGTTAGAGCCTAATACCATTTCTTAATGAGGAATAATACTCTTGTAAATAGAGAACTCTAGGTTGGCCTTCACACATCCAAAGTATGCTCCGTAACAGCAATAACATAACACGCTTTGAGAGTGGAAAGAAATAGAAATGAATAATTAGAAGAATGCCCTTAGAAAACACTGTGGTCTTGCTGGTATTCTACACTCATTGAACTGAGCATTTCTAACACAGAGAACATATTTAAGCATGTGTTTTGATTTCCAGAGGTGTGAAGTCAACTGCTACCCAGCATTCCCCTTCCAACACCTCATTCTGGAGAACTAAGGAAAGCAGGCTTTTGAAGGCCTTTAAGAAGAAAACCAAGCAAACAATGAAAAGACCAGCTTCAAAAGAAATTTCCCCACCTTGACTGCATTTCTGGTTGTGCTTTGAACGGATGCTGTACAGCTTGCTGGGGCTGTTGGCACTGAGTTTGGAGCGAAGCTGGCACTTGCTGCTGCTGCGGCCCAGCCTGGCCCTGAGATGCAGGCCCTGCTTGCAGGGACACAGAGGGAGCTGGCTGGGACAGATGGTGCTGTGCTGGCTGTTTCTGCGGCTGCTGCTGCTGTTGCTTGTATCGAGACAAACTGAAGAAGAGGCCCAGGATGGCCTTTAGATTCCCATTCCGGATTTCTGTAAGGCAATATACAAAAGTCACTCATCAGCCGCCAGCAGTTGTTTCTTTCTGACAGAGCAGTGGATTGGTCACTGCGCCCTTCACAATGCTGTCAGGACTCCATTCCTCTAGGATATGGCAGACTTCTGCAAACCTCATCAGCACTGCTGCTGACTACCAGTGAGCCAAATCTTCAAATAAATAAGTGATTTCTCCCATGCAGTGACAGCAACGGATGCTGGCCATTTCTGCTGCTTTCTGCATGTTAGCACCACTGCGCTTAAAAAGTTAATTCCTTTAAATAATCCCTTTAAAGTAAACAAACTAACCAACCGATCAAAAAATACCACAACAAATGTATTAACGTCACACCGTAAATGATTTCATAGTCTTAAAATTTGCACAAGCAAGTGAAACCAATCAATTACCATGCTGCATTGTATCATTTCTGGAATACCAGCCTAATTGTTTCCATCAAGATCTGGGCCAACTTACATGTTAGAAAATACTGTTACGGTGAATTGTATAAGTAAATAAAAACCATCAGCTGGACTTTTGCCCTCATGCACAGACCACCTGAGCTAGCTCTACTACATGGAGCAGAGCAAGATGGATGAGAAGGACGTGCAAGCCTGGAGCCAAGCATAAAGGCAAGACTTAGCACTCAGATTTCTGTTCCCAGTTCTGAATGAAGGCTTGCTACACCCTGTACTGGGCTCTGCTCTACCCTTTATTCCCTCTCCCAGCCACTTTTCATCTTTTCTGTGTAACAAGCTTCTGTTTTCAATCCTGACCCCTTACCCAGCAAATATCTAGCTCACGTCTTAAGAGTTTGCTCCACTTTCTGTCCTAACTTCCAGCTTTGGCCTCCTTGCCTTCTTAAATCTCAATCTAATTTTCCTTCCCAGCAGCTAATCTCATTTGTTTGCTTCCTTCATTTTGTTCTGGCCCATACTCATCTCTAGTCACTCTTCACCCTTTTCCACGTGGTCCTGGCCATTACCCAGACCCAGGGCATTTCTCTCCCTTCCCTTCTCTCTGAGTTGATTTCTCCTTCCCACAGCCCAGTACCTCCACATGCGCTCTGCCACCACTACCCCCATTCTCCTCTTTACACAAATATCAGTCCCAGGGCCTGGGTGAAAAGCCGTTCCCTGTTTTCCTTAGTTTTCTTGACCAAATTAGTCACTTCCTGGGTAGCGGGATCCCCTTTCTTCCCCTGCTCACATCTAACCCTAACCCCTGCACAGTGTCCTAACCCCAGGCCTGACTCCTCTGACTCCTCCCACTGGCACCGACATGAGGCACTCGGCTTGTCTAATCTGCTTGTGTTTGTCGAGGGAGGACACGGCATGGAAGGAGACAATAAAGCAAAATAGACACAAAAGACAGCAAAGCACAGTGAAAAGCATCTTATCTTCAGTAAAGAACTCAGTTTACTGATGGAACCGTCAGGAACGTATCACTTAATCACGGGGCCATGACTAAACAGACCCAGCAGCACCAGGAAGCTGAACTGCACAAACACAGGCCAGAAGATAAAAGGAACTCCAACAAGCCTACACGTGTAGACTTAGCAAAACTCCACGCAACTGGAAACAGGGCCCTGATTTCACTGTGAAGTGAGAGGTGACTAAAACAACAACTTCACCTAAAACCCATGCCCTTCTGTGGCCGTGCATGGGAAGAGAAACCTGCTTTTGGCATGTTCAACACGACAAAAAACAATAATCACAAGAAAGCCATGTTTAATGAGTTTCAAAAGCAGCAGCCTCTCTCCCTCCAGCTTTTAAGTAACACATTTCAAACCAGACTTCTAAAGGCAGCTCTCTTATCTCAGTGACAGACTGAGGGAATTCACCTGGCAGCTTGCCCCTGCCCTTTGCACTAAAGGAGAACTTCAGCCCCACTGTGTCCTGCAGTCCGGATCTGCTTCCTGCCTCCCATTTTGAAGAAAATCCATACAAATCCACCCTCTGGAAATTTCCATGCTGTCTTATGTATAGATTTTTCATGCGTAGAGATAGTGAACGTGAACACTTTGCGCAAGCCACTGATGGTTGGCCACTGAGGAATTCTGCACGCAGTCCCCCCCAACCTGTCTTCATTCACAGGTGAGAGACAATGGTCTTCTCTATTTCCACAACATCCCACACAAAATCTCCACAGAACACAAGCCAGAGATGCTAAAAAAATAAGTAACTTGTCAACCCAAAGGAATCTTAACACACAGGCTTAGTGCGGTAGAACCAAAACCCGGCAAGATGTAAGTGCCCTCTCAGGTGCGTGTCAAATAGCACTGTGGGGTATTTGTGCTGTGGAAACAAAAATCCCAGCTGGAACGGGCTGCCCAGGGACTGAGTCACTGTCCCTGGAAGTGTTCAAGAAGCACTTAGATGTGGTAATAAGGGTTTAGTGGGGAGATACTGGTGGTAGGCAGATGGTCAGACTAGAGGCTCTTGAAGGTCCTCGCCAACCTTGGTGAGTCTGTGATTCCAGAAAGGAACTAAAATGGATTTATTGCAATACTGCAGAGTGGATACACTGAAATCCATTTACCTACAGAAGTATGTTAATTTCAGAGGCAAAAGCCTAAGTTCAGTGGAGGTAGTTCCAAAGTCTAGCAAGCTGTTTTCTTTCATTGCTTTATGGTCTCATGATCTGCTCAGCTGATGGTTATCCAGCTAATCTGTTACCCAGAGGAGGTGCAGCCTCTAGCTGTGAATTCGAGTTTTTACTGCACTTTTATATTCTTCGTAATCTTCAAAATCTTGCCAGTGTGTGAAGGACGGCAAGCTTAGCTGGGCAGCAGCAGTTCCAGGTGCCTCGAACCCAGCAGCGTGCAGAATCACAGATTCTGTGCAGGAACAACAACAACAACAAAAAAAAGAAAAGCAGCAGCAAGGGGAGAAAAGGCCACTGCAGCATCTCCGTTTTATTCATTTCATTTCATTATTTCATTTTAGCAACTGGGAATAAAGATTTTAGAATGTAAAATCTTTGCAAAGGGCATGCCTTTCTGGATCCATGCTGCTGGGCTGAGGGTCTACCAGTAGCATACTGAGGTCATCATCAGAGATTGCACCTTCACTGCCTAGATCCATGAACACATTATGCCTGTGTCGCACCAGAAGGGTATTACACATGAAGTGTGTTTCAACACATAGGAGTCAACTTCCCTCCATACTAACACTGCACTGTTGAAAAATGCATATTCTTAAGAGACTCAGGAGAGGTGTCAATGTTTATTTCCGTTTGGAAGCAATCACAATCTTTTACTCCCTCCTGGATGAGGACATGCTGGTGGAGTAAGCACAAGCATTTACAACTGACCTAGCAGGTCTTGGCAAATAACTTGTGCAGAAATACAAGCTCGCTTGGTTATAGCAAGCTCAATTTTAAGTGATTCTGTGTTCCCTAGTTCTGTTTTCCTCTTCCTTCTCAGCACAGCGGAGAATGGGCTCTCCAAATTTTCTTGCTGAATTCCAGTCTTTTAACTTCATTTTATAAAAAGTGATCCTTTTCTCTCCTCTCTTCAGACATCATTCTTTTCCTTCAGCATTAGTGGTAGAGCCAGTAAATGTTCTCATTCTTAAGCTGGCAGCGAACATCACTGGTCTCTTCCCAGCTTCCGTACAATTTAATATGTGAGTTCCTAGAAAGAGGAAAATGTAAGAGCGTAACAGAAAGAAAGAGAGAAAATTCAGCAGAAGCCACGGGATAACCGACATCCTGCTGAGTCTGACTTGTGATTTGGCAGGACAGCAATGAACATTAAACACGTTGTCTGCTCCCCAGTGTGAATGCTACACTAGCAGCTTAGCATGCTGACAGTTTTCTCATCAACTCATCTTCTGGATAATATGAAATATGTAACATTTTTGCCCTACTTACCACATCAAGATTAAAATTGGCTTTCACCATGGACTCAAAGCTGCATTTTGTTTAATCATTTCCTGAGAAGTTTTAACTCACACCTCTCTTCTTGACTTGAGAACTCGGACTGGAACGGAACTATCTCAGCACAGAATGCAGGCAGTGCTTGGCCTGACCATGCCACAGCTTCACTTGGGAGGAAAAGATTTATTTGTGGGTATTCTAATCAGCCAGCTCTTCTACTAGTTGTGGTAACATCAGGTTAGTGTAACATGTACCAAATAGCTGCTACTTTGCCTCCCATGCTTACAAACCATCACAAACTTTGTGAAACGATATGTAAATACACATGTTAAAGTGGCTGGTAGGATCTCACAGCCCAAGATAATGTAGGGTTGTCATTTAGAGGACAGCAAGGAATTCTTTAAGCTATTCTATTCTTCAAATTGCCAAAATGTAATTTTTAGTTACATTTTTAATAACTGGTTAAAAAAATATATATAATTTTCTTGTATTTTTTAATACATTTGACAAGTATAATGCATAAATGTACAACTGTACATGATGGTTTCACCATGAAGTTCATCCACAGTGGTAATCTGCTTGTACGTTTCATAAAAAGCACTGACTCAGTAAGGGAAACCTGGGTTCAGAGAAGACTTGGAATCACAGTCAGAAAGCACACAGCTCAGATTAAGAAAGAAAACATACTCAAGAGAAAACAGTGCTAAACTAATCAGAATAATGTCAAATCTAAATTAAATATGAACAGTATTTTCAGCTGCTTGAAAGTCCATTTTGTGAAACAAATGTGGAAACAGCTATTTGTCAGCACAAAAATTACTATTAAAATGTTTTGATACAAGCAGGACTAATATTAAATACATTCCATCACCAAACTACCATACATTTATATTTTCAGGGGGGCAAAAAAGTGACCTAACTGAGGTGTTCCTGCTCCAGCAGGGGAACTGGACTAGATGATCTTTTGAGGTCCCTTCCTATCCCGGACTTTCTGTAATTCTGTGATTCTTTAGGAATCAATAAACTTTACTCCACAAGGGGAAATCCTTTCCTCAGCATTCAGCAAATGCAAAATGCTCACCTTGTCTCTGGTCCTTAACCCCACATCCACGAATGCTTATGGGCACTGGCAACAGGAGAGCCAAGGCCAAATGAGGGAGGATTCTCTCTGCCAACTGAGAGAACCTCTGCTCTTTGCAAATCTCTGTACATGACTTATAAGACTATCTATCATTCATCCTTCCTTCTTTCATTCCATTTTTAAAGGAGGAAAGCTGTGTTATACTTGCGATTGTATAAGTATACACAAAGTTTACAGGCAGAAGACTTCAGACCATCCAGAAAAATTAAAGATATGCCCATGTTTTTGGGCACAGAAATTCTTTCGGGCCTCTGAATATGAATTGTTGCCTATTTTTCCATTTACACTAACTATTCTAACAAGATATATTAGCTTGACTACTGACCTGGGACCAGATGAGATGCGATTCATTTTCTTCCTATCAGCTCCCGGTGCTGTGCTATGGACTGGTAACCAAACCAGCCTTTCTGCTGTTGCTGAGCAGCACCTGCACAGCCTCAAGGCTCTCTTTTCCCAGCCTCAAAGAAGCTGCAGGTTGAGAAGAAGCTGGGAGGAGACACAGCTGACCAAAGGGAGATTCCTTTGGTAACAACATGCTCAGCAACAAAACACAGGGCGGAGAGGTGCTGGGTATGCACCAAGGAGGAGGTGTCATACATACACCTAAGGCTGGCTGAACTACCAAACCCACCTACTTCTGCAGCATGCTTAAACACAGAGGTGAATGCTGGTGATGAGAATTAGGGAGATGTGTCTGATCTTTTATGAGACAGCAGTTAGCTTCTGAGCCACCAGGCACCATACATCCTGACGTACATCATGTACTGACAGGGAAGAACACCACACACACACACACAGCCATTTTCTGGTTTTGAAAAATTCTGGTGCTCCTCATAAACAAAAGCAATGAACTCAAGGTCGCTACCTTTTTCTTTGGGTTCAAAACATTTGTTGTGGGTTGTTTGGTGTTTTTTTTTGTTGTTGGTTTGGAAACAAACTTCTAAATATCTCAATCAAAGGTAACTTAAGTAGTTGAAGAATGATCAAATAACTTCTCTCTCAACAAACAATCCCCATCAGTTTTAAATTCACATTAATTCTATGCTCTAATCAGTGCACCAATTACAGAACTTAGATGAAAAACTCTCCGCTTTTTAACAGACATACACAAAGACATTACTGAATTAGAATAATTGTTTGTACAAGTCAGCGGAGATGAGATGTGTATTTCACTTACCTTGCATAGTGAGATGGGGGGAAAAAAAAGGAGTTAAAAACTTTAAGTTACCCATATTTAATCCTCCATTCCATGGCACGTGACTACAGTCACAAGCAACAATTTCAGATTGTTATTTAAAATGACATTTTAAAGTAGGGATTGACTCACCTTCCGCTGACAGCCCCTGTATGTTAATCCCCTTAGCAGCCAGGAAACTCAGGCATGCGTCTATGTTTTCAATCTGCTCATGAGCAACAACAAAAACAACAACAAAAGGAGACACAAAAGAATATGCATTGTAATAATTGTTTATGTTAATTTCCCGCCACCCTTTATTGCATTCAGTCTTCATGTCACACAAAAAGTCCCTTTGCTCATATTGTGGAAGCAGTAACAATGTGATATCTCCTAAGTTACTAAGGTCCTACACTGATGGAGCATTACCAAGCTCTGGACTATTTGTACGTGAATGAAGCACATTATTTAATGCTCTAACCACGACAGATGATCACTATATGTCTCATTAAAGGAGCAAGGACCTTATGCCAAGATTTTTAACCTACAATAGTGTAATGAATGTGAAACTGAAAATAAACACGGAAGCCACATTTGCTTGAGAAGGCAGATTGCCACTTGCTCTTAAGTTGACAGCTGGCAAAAGTTTCCATCCACAAAAGCAGTCAAATATAAAAACTGTAACTGAAAACCCCAAGTGGAATCCAAAAAATATTTACCCACTGCATTCTCCGCAGGTCAGAAATGACAGGCAACCCCGGTCTCCCACTGAGGGGTATATCCTGCCCTTCAGAGAGATGGTACAACTAACAGCGCTGAATTGCATGGGATAAAATGCATGTTGATCAGACAGTATCTGCACAACGGCTCTGCACTTTAATGACTACAATTGCTACACACAGACTGGATTACATCCAACTGACAAAGTGAATACTAGGAAGGTTGGAAGAGTTGGGTGTTTTTCGCCTGTATCTCAATATCACTGCAGAGATCTAGCTTTATTTTCATAACCAATTTCCCTCCAAGCCCTGTTGTAGTATCAAACAACACAGAGGTGCCAGCCCCTGCAGACCAAAGCACTTCAATCAGAAACCTAATCCTGGGCACCCATAGAACTCACGCCAAAAAAAAACCCCAAAACCAACAAAAAAGCCCTTACAACATTTTAGAAAATATCATGTAGTGCATGTGACGTTTCACATTAGTCTGTCAGATAACAGCAATGCATAATTTTTGCCATGCAAGTATCCTTTTGACCTGAAGTTTTGAGACATATAAAGGGATGGGAAAACCCTCGTTTACACATCAGCTCTTGCCTGCACTTCAAAAAAAAAAGACAGAAACAAGGCTGTCAGTATTTGGGAGGCTGAGCTGCCATCACCTGATCTGTGCTTTCTGTCCTTCTCTATGTAATACTAAAATAAATAAATAAAAAGTACAAGGGAAGCCATCAGAAAATCTCCAGGGTAGATTCACTTATTGCTTGTAACAATAAAAACATTTTTTTCTATCAGGGCAAGAAGAAGTTACTGGCACTACATAACTGGGACTTCAACAGTTCTAAAAAGGGTGATGTGAGGAGGTTGGTAGAAGTTTGGAATATCCTTTGACAACAGACTGCCAAAACCAGACGTGTACCAGGTAAGAGACTGCCTGTAATGTTCAGATCTGAAAGTCCATAGCAGGGTGTAGGTCCAAAGGTTCATTTACCCGCAGTTCGGCATGCGCCAGCAGTCCAACTGTTTTAGTTTCCTTCCTCATGGTTTCAACGCAGCTCTTTTATTGATGTGACTTGGGACTGGAAAGCCAAAGTCCACCATTTCAAAAATAAAAGCCACACAAAAACATCCATCTTCCCACCTCTTGTACCTAATGAAACTTCAGCTTTCATTGCTCCAAGAGCACTGCTAGTCTTCCACAACTCTGGGTAGATTTCTCCTCTTCTAGTAAGGAGATTTGCTCAGGTAAGTAAGTAATGATAAGCAAAATCTTTATAAGAAAATAAACTACGATGATAAGATCTTGTACAGATTTGCATCTATAAGGAATTCACAAAAAAGAAAAATAGAACTGAAAGATAAAGACACAGCAATTATTCCATCAACATTTATGCAATATTATCTGTGGTACTGGCACGCAGCATAATGATAGCAATGTAATTAACTATTTGAAGGAGAAAATAGAGCTCAGTAAGGAAAATAAATGCAGGGAAATTCAAGAAAATGAAAGAAGGCAGGTCTATAGCTGGAATGATTAAGATTTACCCTTGGTAGAAATTCAGGGTGCTTCCCATACAATGGCTGGTGCCTCACACAGAAACAACCTGTGTCTGCCATCCAGCTGCAATGGAAAAGGGCTCCCAATCCACCTGGCACTCCAGAGTCTCAGAAGAGGAAAAAGGATCCAGAGCCATCAATGGCTCCATCAGGTTGCCATCTCCTGCATCCCGGAGCTGCCCAGGATGAAAACACAGCAATGTTCTGATGCAAAATTTCAAAGTAAGGAAGCTGAAATATTAATATGTCAAGAAGCTTATGGTGTAAATAGTTTTTTATGACCAGTAGCCTGAGTGAAAAACCCTTAACTTGGCCTATCACCTCACCTTAAGCATTAGTAAAAAAGGAGGAGGAAAACCAGGAACAGATGTCAGCCCCTGGCTGGAAAAACAGGATTTAAAAATTAGAAAACGCACATATGTACTGATTTCTAAACACTTCATAAAGGATATCCCCTTGCACATCATAGCTCTCGTTCCCAGCAGACCTTTATGCTCCTCATTCATTCCTAGCTTCTACACTTCAGTACAACACTTCAGTATGCACAAATTTAACAACTTCATTCATTTAATTCTCAGTGTGCTATTACTTTCCTGGGCATATGACTCAGTTTTCCCTCTATTTTCAAATGTACCTTACAGTAATTGTGTACTTCTGGCAATGCTGGCCACAACACCCACAGATGTTTTTGTGCTTGTAATAGAATACTATTTTCTGCTTCTATTCTTGTCCAGTGCTAGAAAGAAAGGGAGCTAGGAAACATGCCCTGGCCTGTAGAAACAAAACAGAGCACACCAGAAACAAACAAACAAACACACACCCTCATTCTGTAATATGTAAATGGACACCCAGCATGGCACTGCTGTATGTTGAACGCTGATGGTACCAAAAAGAGACCTGGATATGCAAAGTGTCCACACCTAAAGCGGCACGTTCAAGTCTGCCAAGTCAAACTGACCAGAGTAAATCCCAAACAGTACTGCCCTTCTGACAGATACAGATGTTCCTCTCCAACAAAAATCAGAGCTAAGCTTCTTGTAGGCTCCTTCACCTAGGAGCCATGGGAAGTTTCTCATTAAGCAAGACCTCCGCTCCCTATTTTTACAGTGATAGATGTGGAATTTTCATGAGTTTATCATGAAATACCACTAATTGTATCAAATCCAGTACTATACATTTAACTTTCACCTCCGTGTTATGCACATTAGTTCTCAGAGGAAGAAAATGAAGATTGATTCATGTAAAATGTTTGAAAGTTTCTGAAGCTCTTATGCAATACTACAACAGACTTCACATGCAACACAGAAACAAGGGAAGAGCCTAACGTGAGCTGATAACAGCAAGATGTTTCTGAATGCAGAACGTGTACCTTGTCCTTATTTTCAGACCGAGCATGAATGCTTAATACTTTTTACAACACAGAGTGTACAAAGAGCCTTAACATCTTGCATTGTTTCCTACACATAATTCTTTCCAAAATGGCCTGGAATACTACATAAAACAATATATATAAACCATATACAACAGATTCTCAATCATTACAAGTGGGATCAGAGGACATCAGAAGGAAGGTTGAGGGAACTGGGCTTGTTTAGCTTGGAAAAGAGAAGGCTCTGGGGAGACCTCATTGTGGCCTTCCAGTACTTGAAGGGAGCATAAGAACAGGAGAAGGAACAGCTGTTTATGAGGGTAGATAGTGATATGACAAGGGGGAATGGTCTTAGCCTGAGACAGGGGAGGCTTAGGTTAGATATTAGGAGGAAGTTTTTCACATAGAGGGTGGTGACACACTGGAGCAGGTTGCCCAAGGAGGCTGTGGATGCCCCATCCCTGGAGGCATTCAAAGCCAGGCTAGTTGTGGCTCTGGACAGCCCACCACCCTGTGGCAGTAGGGGTGAAATTAGATGATCTTTAAGGTCCTTTTCAACCCAGTCCATTCTATTGATATTTGTGCTCCAGCCTGGATCTGGGCCTGGATCTCCTAGATAAATCCTCCAGCTTGTCCTAACTGGGACAGGCTGCCCAGTGGGGTGGTGGGGTCACTCTCCCTGGAGGTATTCAGCTAATGTGTAGATGTGGCACTGAGGGATGTGGTTAGTGGGCATGGTAGGGATGGGTTGGGGTTGGACTTGGTGATCTTTTCCAACCTTTATGATTCCATGAGCTGATCCAAATGTAATGCCTCGTTATTATCTTTTTTTTTAAACATTGGCCCACAAAGTCAGAGGCAGTTATGGGCAGTATGTCAGTAGAGGCTGGCAGTGGGCAGCAGAGGTGGGCAGTACAGCAGCAGAGCTTGAACCTTCCCACCAATATCCCATTACTTTTTGTTGCAATCTGACACAGTGGCATCTGACATGGAAGTGCACATGAAGAAATGGTGTGGCATTCAATTCCTCCGCTCGAAAAAACTGGCAGCCACTGACATTCATCAATGCTGAGCATTTATGGTGACCAGACAGTGGATGTGAGCACAGGAAGCTGGTGGGCAGTGCATTTCAGCAGTGGTGACAGTAGGTTACCTTCGCTGGTGGAGATTTTTACAAGCGTGGCATGAAGGCTCTTGTTCACTGCCGGTGAAAATGCACAGCTAAAGGTGGTGACTGTGTTGACAGAACTGAGTTTTATAGCTGAGAACTTGCTCTGTCAAATCATGTTGTGCTCTCTGTAACTGTTGTAATTTCCATGGAAATAAATAAGCAGTTTTACTTTTGGAGCAATCTATGTACGTAAAAATCATCCTAATTAAAGCAAAAATATAAGATATTCTAGATACATACTGCCTTCTACTAATCAAAATAACCATTCTCATACAGCTACAGTATATGAGTAATGGCTGGAAACCTAAAATTTGTGACAAGGCAAACAGAAGAAGTTTATTTCTCTGAGCTGTATAAACCCCTGTAAAAGCTATGATCTGTTTCCAATACTCAAGAGAGAAGTGCTTGCT